ACTAGTGTTTTAACCGTGCGTTGCACGGTAGTGATAATACCATCTTCAAAAGAAATGTTATAGACTAAAATTTGAAGTTCACTTCTTAAAAAAATTAGGCAAATGTGTGTGACAAATACTCATTAACATTAAAAGTTTTTAAGAGAAGTTGGCAATAATCTTAGAACCATATGTTAATTTAAGTTATCTAACTATGCTCGAGAATGGTGTTACAAAGTACTTTACAAATGTTTGACTAATGTTAATAGTTTGTTTAATTAGAAGTCACAATTCTAACTTAAATCTCATATAAGGTGACAAAATCATGATGTTCGTTTTGTGATAAATTTAATTGAAATCTCATTTAAAGTTATGAAAAAGAAACGTAATATTTCAAGTGAAAATTAGAGAAGTGTGTAAGTTGTAGCAACAGTAGTAAAAGTTCAAGGCGATGCATGGAAAACCACATCACCAAGTTAAGATAATGGATTTTTCCTCATAAAAAAATAAAATTAATATCAAGTGGGGTCGATGACCCATATATCAGATATTAAACTGATAAAAACAAATACTACATTTTATCATGACATTCTATAATATTTAAATTGTAATTAGAGGGTGTATCAAACATTGATAGTAGTAACACCAAGACGACAGATAAATAACTACATTACGAAGTAGTATAATGAACATTCTCATATACAAAATAAAATACCAAGCAAGTTGAAAACATATATATTAGATATCAAACTAAAAACATATAATATACTTGATCTAAACAAAAAAAAAACCTAAGATTTGGGATAGATATGTTAAACTAAAAACATATACTACACTTGATCTTAAGCAAAAGGTCGACATCCGAGATAAATATGTTTGTTCCATTTTTAGTCATTTTTTTTTGTAGTAATCTTCCTTTTGCCACTTTCACTCCATCATGCTATGCGTGATGCAATTATGCAAACAATATTGAGAAAAATATTAGCTCTTTTATTTTTGTATCCACTTATCACGTGTCTCTTTCTTCTTTGATCCAATGTGGGATGCAAACAATAATGTGAGGAAAAAAAATGATTATATTGCTTAGAAGTTATCACCTGATTATCCATGGTTATTGCTTTTATAGATAAAAATAAAGATATAAAAATATAGATTATAGATATATAACTATTGTTTTTACAACTTTAACTTCGACAATTTTATGGTCTTGATTTATCGTCAATTTTATACTATTTCTTATATTAGTTTTTGATATATATTTTTTTATAAAAGATGGCTGGCCAAAAAAAGGACAACCTAAAAATTGCACAAACTCTCTTAGTATTATAAGATATCTAACTTCTTTTTAAATATTCACTTCCTTATTTTGTATTATTTGATTGGTTTTGATTTCAACCATGGTTATATATTTTGTATTATTTGTTTGGTTCCTCATTTAATATATTATAATGATATTGTATTTGGTTGTTGATTGATTTCAAATTCATTTTTTCCTTCTTCCATATACTTACCTTCGTCTTCGAATATCTCATGAATTTGCGGCAATACATTAACATGTAACTTCTTTACGTAGAGGTTTATTTTATTTTACTTATAATCATATAATCAAATTTAGTTAATCTAAAAAGGTTATCATATATTCAATTTTAATTATAAAAAACTAAAACAATCAATAAATTATTCGTTATATTATTTAAAAGTTTTTAATTCAACTTTATAATATAAAGTATATATACTAAAGTCATATTATTACCTTTCATTGTTATTTTAAAGTCAATTGAAATAAAAGAAATTATATAAAAATCGGGTCATCCAAGTAAGATAACCTTATTATCGAGCCTCATGAGTTGACATCTCATCCTTCTTACTTATACATACCTCCTTATTCCAATCTTTCAATCTCTCACCAATATAGGATATCACAAACTCAACCACAATTCCCCAACACCTTAATACTCAATTATCATGATTTCACATCAATACCTCTTGGTTTGCTCGGTGATCAAAACTCAATTTAAGAAAAAAAAATGTAAGATCCTTGACTCGAGCGGAAGTGCGATGTGTCTGAGAACTCGGGATTGTGTTTATATTTATAACGCCCCGTCCAACACCGTAAATCACGATCCGGAGAATACTAACATAAGATGAAAGCACGTCATTAAGTCAACACTTTCATTCTATATATAAGTGATATAATAGATACTTAGACTATATTTGTTATTATAAGTACTGCAATAATCACAAATTTTGTTAAGAAAAAAACGTATCATTTGCATTCGTTTTGCACAAATCTTTTACCAATTGATTGGTTTTAATTTCAACCATGTTTATATATTTCAAAGTTGTATCTCACATTTATACATCCATCATCTTCTTCCCAACCATCATCTGTCTACCAATGTGAGATGATGAAAGTCAACCTTATTTCAGATTTGAGGAACACTCAAACCTCATGTTGCCAATTCATCATCCTTGGTTTCACTTTTATATTTGCACTATAATTTTTACCATTTAGTTGGTTTTGATTCCACCCATGGTATAGATTTCAAAGACGATCATCGAAAATAAGACAACCTTATGAGACAAACTTCATGATTTGACACAAAGACATTCAATCCACTTTTCTTATACACTTCACTTTATTCAAATCTTTCAGCTTTTCATCAATATGGGTCAACTAAAACTCAATCACAACTCATCATATGAGAATACTCAATTCTCATAGTGTCACCTCAATACCCCAAGGTTTTGTTTTCATATATATAAAAAGAAAGTTCTTTTTTCCATTTGGTTGGTTTTCATCTCAATCATGGTTATAGATTTCAAAGAGGGTCATCCAAAAAAAAAACAACCATATGAGGCAAACCCCATTATCTGATACAAAGACATCCAATCCACTTTTCGTATACACTTCATTTTCTTCAAATCTTTCAACTCTTCACCAATGTGGGATATCTCAAACTCAACCACAATTCACCAATACCTCAATACACTATTCTCATGATGCCACTTCAAACACTCATTGTTCTTCTTTTAATATTATATATATATATATATATATATATATATATACCTTATGAGGCAAACTACATGAATCGACACAAATGCACCAATACATATGCCACCTCATCACCACAAGGTTTTAAATTTTATAATCTTCAGGGTGTCACCTCATCACCCCCAAGGTTATATATATATATATATATATATATATATATATATATATGTATGTATGTATATAAAGATATAATAATATAATATAATTAATTTTGCACTATAATTTCTACCATTTAGTTTGATTGGTTATA